TAATCACTTTCCTTACCACTGGGACAAAATATCCAACTCCTTCACCTTAAAGGAGGAAAGGCTTATTTTGGCTCACAGTTTGTAGAGGTTTCGGTCCATAGTCAGCTGGCTCCCAGGCAGGGCAGCGTGGGAAACAGAAGAGGAGAAGTGCTCACACAGCAGACAGGAAGAAGAGTGTAGGGAGGAGGCTAGGGAGGGAAATTTATCCTCCCAGGCCACACCCCCGTGACCTGCCTCTTCCAACCAGACTCCACCTCCTAACAGCAAGTCAGCTATAATCTAATCACTTTCCCAAAGTTCCACTAACTAATGTATGAAGATTTAGGGGACATTTTAAATTTAAACCATAATTCTTTAATGAAAATCCTCCCAGGGCCATTAATGAAAAGTGAATGTGTCCAGGCTGCCACAAATATAAGGAACAAGATATGAGAGTTAAAATCTCTGGGGACAGATGACCTGGTCCACTTCATGGGTCCACCAGTGATCAACTCCACAACTTCAGCCAAGTTAATTAAGCTTGCAAACTCTCAACTGCCTCACCTGTAGAACGGGATAAGTATCTATTTCTCACGAGTTGTAAAAATTAAATGAGATTTTGAATTTAAGTGAGTTTAGGACTTATGATGTGCACATCATAAGCACTCCAGACATGTCAACAACTATTACTGCTTTTATAGAAAGAAATCCCAAGACACACTAATATGTAAGTACAGAAAAATTGATTAGCAACATATTACCAATAGCTTTTAAAATAATTTGAGGAGGTACTAGGAATTGGACCAAGAGTCTTCACACTAAGCTATATCCCCAGTAATGTTTTTTACTTTTTATTTATTTTCAGATAAGGTCTTGCTAAGTTGCTAAACTGTCCAGGCTGGGCTCGAACTTGCAGTCCTCCTGCTTCAGGCTCCCAGAGTGCTAGGAGTATAAGACTGTGCCACCAAGCCCAACAGGAATAATTTATTAAGTGATAATTTTTAATAACTGATGTTTTTAAATATGTGAAAAATTCTCCTACCTCTCTTAAACTTTCACCTAGAAAAGGGTATGAAAGTGACTTGAAAAAGATTTTAAGTTTTCTTTAAATAAATGAAAAAATAAATTTATATAATCCAAGCAGCTCTATACCTGAGCAGGGTAGAGAGAAGACCTATAACCAAAAGCAAGATATTACAAGTTTCAGATGTTCTACTGTCTTAAAAGGAATTTACTAATCCACAATACAGTGAGGAAAACAGAGGTTCTTTGGAAATATAATTCCCTTTTTTTTGAGAAGATAAATGAAAACCATCTCTTTCATGAGGCCCTTCTTTACTTCGGGTTTTTGTGCACCTTTTTCATAACCTTTTTTGAGTCTTTCTAGCTATAGCACAACCGAGCATTAGCTGTCCCTGGGCGGAGTAAAAGACTCAGGGCAAGTGAGTGTTCTGTACTACTGTAATCCCAAGTAGCTCAGGCTGGTCACCCACAAGAGCATGGTGAACAGGTACATTTATGGTCTAAAACCCAGTCAGAGCTAGTACTGCCTATGAAAGACAGTGACGGGTGATGTGAAGAGGCATGAATTGATCACGACATACTCACTGAACAGTTATTTATTCTGCAGCATTAGTTTTCAATAACCATGAAAATCATTTATATCGTAGTAAACTGATATAGAGCTTTCAGTCAAGCGTTTGAAAAGTGTCACAGTTACTAAACTATTCCACTAAGCACAAGAACTTTTAATTTCTTCAAAACTCATGATCCTACTAACAGTGCTTCTTTAGATTAATAATAATGTGAGGTGAAAACCTTGGACTCCAGATCCCTGTCCAGTCTGAACGCTGCTCCCTGCCATTTCCCAGCTGTACAACCTCAGAGAAATGACTTAACTTCTCAGTGGTGGTCTCCTAATCTACAAAATGGAAATAAACCTCACAAAATTACTGTGAGGATCGTATGAATTCATAGCTAAAATGATTTAAACGGGGCTTGAAATAGCATGTTGTTAATAGTGTAAGCTGCTTTTATTGGCATTGTAAAAACTATTGGAATTTTCATCACTATCTCATCTTATTCAACTGAATACATTAAAAAATACATACTCCAAAGAAGCAAAAGTACTCTGGATTTGATTTTTTATAATCCCTTATAATCTGGTTTCATAAAAATGTTCACATTTTGACAAATAAAATGGAAGAGATCTGCTGGGTTTAATTATAATTCTCTAGGGTTCCATTTTTGCAATACCACAAACAATAGAGCATAGTAAAAATTTTTCTCTTCAAATTCTTGTTCTTTGAATTTTTCTAGGTAATACATATGAAGTTCATGCAAAAAATTAAAAAAACATTTGCAACCTTTGGCATAAATGGGTTAAAGCCTCAAGAAAATAACTAAACTCTGGGTCTGTTTTTCTACTTAATTTTCTGAAAGGATTTATTGAAAACTTCTAATCGGCTGGGACATTCTTGCTGCTCACCTTTCAGCAGAGTAAGTCTGCCTGAGTACAGTGGACATCCATTTGGTTTCAATTTTCAAATACACAAACACTTCATTGTACAGCAAATGGCAATGGATGATCTAAAGGCACATTGTTTTTGTGGCTTGATTTTCTATTCTACTTTTAACTCTGTGCTGATTACACTTCTTCTCCTCCACATACACCTCTCAATTTATCCTGACTATCCAAAAAAGTTAGTCACTCTTAATTTTTTCTAAAACATAATACATCATAATCAAGTCAGTCTTCTGTCTCAGTCTGTTCTGTCTCGGCCTTAACAAGTACCAATAGGCTGGATGGTTTAAACAACAGAAAGTTGTCTTCTGACAGTTCTGGAGTCTGCAGTCCAAGATCAAGGTGTAGGCTGATCTGATTCCTAGTAAGGGCCCTTTTTCTTATGTGAAGATGGCTACCTTTTGCTGTGTCTCAGATCATAGGGAGAGAGGTCCACGCCTCCGCCTCCTCCTCCTCCTTCTCCTCTTCTAATAAGGACACCAGTGCTAACCACGTACGGTCCCACCTTTATAACCTCATTTCACATTGGTCACCCCTAGCTCTAACAGGGTTAGGCAGTTAGGACTCCCACATTCAAATCTAGGGTTATACAAAGTCTTCTAACTGCTCAAATATAAAACTCAAATGCAAGTCTATAATGTTTGTACTTACAGTAAATTTTCCCCCACTCATATATGGAAAACTATCTGGTAAAATATAATGGAGTTTTAACTCAGACTGAAAATTTTATATGCCTTAGTTTTCAAGTTCACTGACACGACGATAAAAGCCCAAAACTTTACCTGTCTCTTCGTTAAATAGATATACTTTCTCTGTTTAAAATTTGATGTTATGCAGCACACAGTAAAAGGAGTTTCGAAATGCATCATAGTTTGATGGGACTGATCACCTGCATAAAAGAATTTTTAAATACTCTGTGGGTATTGACCTAATTTTTCAAAAATGTGTACTCTTAGGTTTTCTAGGATTCAGGTATCACGTGGTTCAGAGAATCACACCAGTAGCAGACTTACTTAGAAAATTTAGTGAGTTGTAAATTGTCCTTAGAAAGATAAGGCTGAAAAGCTGAAAGGATTCCCAAGCCTGACACTTGACAGATGTAAGGGATGATGCCCAGGGAGGAGAAATGACCCAATTGCTCTGGCAGCTCATCAGTGCCAGCGTGGTACTGGACAGAACACAGGGTGGGGGCCAGGGTGTCAGTGGCCACAGCTCCACATGCCACCAAGCCACAGTGCTCCTAACACCCAAGCAGGGAGGGAGCCTCCTATCTCCTGGCAGACACCATGTGCCCTGCCTGGCACCAACAGTGAGCACCAGATCTTTAATCCTAACATCCAAACCAAGGATGCCTGCTTCTCCCTTGTCTTTTAGCTTCTTTTCTGTTTTTCTTCCAAACGACGAACACTTCAAGCCAATGCATTCGTCTTTCCCACAAAGCTCCTCTGGGACAGAAACAGAAATGTACTGCAAATCTCTCTTCTTCCACTCATATCTCATCCTGGGTCTGTTCCCTCAAACCACAAGCCCTGACTCTAAAGAAACATTAGGTTCTCATAGTAGTGGCTTCATAAGACTGAAAAAAATAAAACCTAGAAATACTAACTTGTAGTGAGGTTTAAAAGATCCCCTGGGACTTGTTTGTTTGTTTTAAACTTGTGTAAAATGTTCCCACATGTGTAGGCATGTAACTTTAGAGGCACTTTTTTTTTTTAGAGCATTCAACAGTAGTTACTACTTTTATAAGGGGACTTACTTCTAAATCTATCTGACATGCCTTTAATTTGCCCAAGGCAATACCTGAAGAAGTAAGGAATGTTCCCTACAGAGTGCTCTCAGTCAGCTGGAATAGCCAAGAGGCTTTTTTTTTTCTAGTCTCATGAAACAGGGACGACATTTCCATTTCCTGTGATTCATAACAAAGAAATCTGTACATCTGCCAAATTTAGCAAGACCCTTAATAGCTGCTAGTGAAGCTCTCAGATTTCACCAGCCTAACACAACTTTAAAATGAAAACCAACAAAAAAGTTCATATTAGAAAAATTTCACTTTTTAGTAACTCTCATATCCCTGTAAATGGGTAATACATCTTTCGGTAAAATTCAAAGAAAAATATTAATCTTTTCACATGTGTTGAAGGCAGATTATGAGTCTCCTGTATAAAAGTAACACTGAAGTATTGTTAAGCCCTTAAGAACCTGTAAAAAAATGAAACGATTCACGTTTACAACAGCTACTAATTATGATGCAACCTTCTTGAATAGCATATGAATTTGTGTACATAAATCTTTCCAATTAGCCTTTGCACTGCTCAAAGATAAGGGCTACGTTTTCTTTTTCCATTTTCCTTGAACAGGATGCTGGACCACAAAATGCTAAATGCTTTGGTGACACAGCATACTAGTCCTACAATCAAAACTGTCTTTCTGCTGTCTAACAAGCCTAATTTTATAAATAATTCATAACTGCCATGAGCACAGTTGAACTTATTCTTACCAGAGCTGGATAAACGCCTGATTCTCTGAGGAGATAAGGCTCGATCAGAACTGAGCTTTCTACTGTCGCTGTTCCGCCTCAGACAGGAAGAAATAGGCCCCACTTTGGCTTTTGGGCATGGTGTTTTCCGCAAACTGCAAGAGTCAGGCTTGGATATACTCCTAGCCGAGGTGGTAGTAGCTTTTGAAGCAGAATCCTATGAAGAAAACAGTTAATATTTTCAGTCCAGATAATACTTTCCCCCTACCATTTCCCTTGTCGTGTTAGCTATGTGAAAGACACATAGTGAAGAGGATATGCCAGGCAACTAATTTTCATTGTCTAATAAAAGCAATTAAAACTCTTCACAGCTGATTCTTCAGTTCATCATATTCTACCTTTGCACACATTAGTGAGATTGTTCTCAAGGTTCCCCATGTTACAAGTTGATTCAATGCACTGTGTTCAGTAGGGGACCCTCTGGCACCCAGTGCCCTACAGAGTTCCTTCCTGGCTTCTCTGGGTCTTGCTTTTCTATGTCTTTACGTGCTTGTTTCTCTGGGGCCCAGAATTGGTTCTGTTCTCACCCTGTACTCTTCCTACACGATCTTGTCTGCTGTTTCAATTGCCACATCCAAAATCCACATGTCCAAGCCAACACTCTCACCTCCCTCATATGAAAGTTCTGTCTGCACCTGCACCTCCGCACTCGGATCCTTCAGGTGACTCCACTTAACAATGACAATCATGCTGCTATTGTTGGTGTTGACTAATACAGAGGCTTTCACACTATGCAAAATACCATTCCAGATTCTAGCTACATCTATTGGTTCATTTAATCTTCATAATAATCATATGCTGTTGATGCCAGGTGTGGTGGCACACTACTAGAATCCCAGTACTCTAGGAGGCTCAGACAGGAGGATTGCAAGCTCAAACCTGGTGACTTAGCAAGGCTCTGCTTCAAAATTAAAAAAAAAAAAAGAAAAAGAAAAAGAAAGGACTGGGTGTAACTCAGTGTAAGAGCTGTAGGTTCGATCCCTTATATCCCCTCCCCAAACAGCATGAGGTTGATATTTTATACCACACTCTACAGAAGAATATGAAGTAGTTTCTAAAATTAAACTTACTTTACCTATCCATCTCACAGTTTATTTCTCATATTCACCCCAATATACCCAGGTAGGCACCTTAAACAATGAAAGTGATTTCTAGCTGATTCCTCTCTTACCTCTTATGCCTCTCCTTTCAATAAAACTTAGTACATGTCAGCATCATTTCTCAGCAGAATTACTGAACTCACATCTTCAACATCTCTCCAGTCTTATCAGCTTTCAGTTCACTCTCTACTCCCCCTGCTATCTCTCTAAAATTCAAATAGGGTCATGCAGCTTTCCTCTGCCATCCAGGTAAAAACCACTCCTTGTAAGGCATGTCGAGCTCTTGTGGATGTGGCCACCCCTGCCATCTCCTTCAGCTTAATCCTTACAGCTCATGGTTCAGCAGCCCCAGCTCCTGTAATACCCACTGCTCCGAGTCCTCTAACACAGCATATAGAGTATCTTTTCATATTTCTTCATCCATTCATGTAGGTATGTTGATGTGTATTTTCTCTACCCAGAATATAAGCCCATAAGTTCTGGAGAGTGACTACATTTCTCCCTGCCCCAGGAGATCTTCACTAATCATTCTTCACATTGCCATCACTTTCTCTCCCCTCCTACAACACACAATCTCTTTTTCTTCTTAGACCCAAGCCCTCTAAGAAGAAGGATGGCTTTGTCACATCTTCTCTCCCCTGCACCCAGCTCCATTTCTGGCCCAGAGGACAGTCACCCAAGGACAGCCCACATGGGGCTGAAAATACATACCAGTTCCCCACTGCCAAAAATAGAGCTACGGAGAAGAGCACTGACCTGTCAAACATTTTAAAAACTCAGAAAACTCGTTTCTCCAGTGCTATTGCCAAATATATATACATTTTAAAAATACTGTTTTATTCTTTAAACGAATTTATCTAGGCCTAAGTATTCGACAGGTGCTATAGGAAACAATACTGCTTTTACACCAAACACAAATAAAATGCAAAGTTTGTGTACAAAATGATTATATTAGGGCTGCAAGAGACCACAGACATCCAGTGGTCCAATCTGCTCACCTTTGGGTCCAAAGTCCCATGAGCTATTCAGAGGTAAAATTAAGAATATTCCTGCTCACAAGACAGAACTCTATTTCCCAGAACTATCTCCTCAACAGCAAGAGACCAAGAGTTATTTTTAAATTGATATGTTTACCAGCACTCTCTATCCACTTGTTAAATGTGGACCAATACATGTGAAACTTTATAAACCCCTTTTTCAGAAAAATAAAAAATAACGTGATTATATTAGGTTATTAAAAGCAAATAACTATGCTAAAATATTAATTTGTTTTTCTAAAATATTACTAAAAAGAACATTGACTCTCAAAACAAAATACTGAATTGAGGATTTTCAATATGCAAATTTGTTACACTGTGGCCTATTAAGATTCGAATAGTACTGACAAGACAAAGAATTAACACCTGAAAGCAAATTTGCTCACGTCCTTCGGCAATATTATTGGCTTAGTGGATATTAGCTATTAATAAATAAGTAAATAATAAATTCAGTTTTCTCTACCACTCCATGAAGCATGAAAAAAGTTTCACTTACCAAAAACAGAGAACCATACTCAAAGGTCTCATTCATAACTTCCTTTTTCAGCTCTTGTTTTTCCATAGGTATTTCCTTTTCTTTTTCACCCTTCTTTTCTGCGTGGGTCCTATCAATTTTTGAAGCGTACGTCATTCCCAAACGTTCTGTACTTTCCATTTTAACAGGGAGTATGCCTTTGATCTTCTGAAAAAATGCAGCTACAGACCCAGTATCACATACTGAATGAGAACTTGTTTTGTCAACATCTTTCTGATTCGATTTCATGGCAGATGTTGTTCTTGGAACCCTGAGTGAAGCATTTTTAGAATGAGTTGTAACATGCACAGCCTGGCCAGTAATGAGTTTATTAAACTGTTGCTTATGAGTCTTGTTAATTAGGATTTCTGCTTTTGTGTCTGTGTTCACGTCAGATCTTGGTGTTTTGCTCAAAGTTGTCAACTGTCTTGAGGAAGACACTGCTGAGGGCGAGGCAGCTGCACTGTTCAACTGAGGCTTGGGTGTGACCTTAGATAAAGCAGGGTCTTTGGGCTGCAACACTGGTCTAGATATAACTTTTGCCTTGACATTCTTGAAGTTTGGTCTTGGGTAACTTATAATTTCAGTTTTTCTAAACTTGCTGCCTACAGAGGTATTTGTTTTAGTTGCTGATTTTCCCAGACTAGGCTTAGATAAGCTCATCGGTGTTCCCTTTAAAGTAGGTAAATTTTTAGGCTCTCGATTACTCTTCTCCACTTTATTACAGCTCTCTGTTGATTGGATCGGTGAAAAAGTAAAGCTTACATCTGTGGGTTCTACAATTGGTGTTGACATGCAAGCTGTGTTATTTGTGCTAATAATCATTTCATTTGCATCCCAAGACACTTCAAATAATGAAACTGTCTTTTGTCCTGGTGAGCAACGTTGTATCAATTCTACAGTACTATTTTGGGTTTCCAAATCCTTCTCATTAGAAGCAATTTTTAGATCTTCAGTCACAGGGATATTATGCTCTGAGACCAACACTTTGGCTTTACTTTTTTCAAAAGCTGGAACCAGTAAAGGGCATTCATCATCAATAAGACAATTAGACAGTGTCTCTCTTAGATTTTGGCCCATTTCCCTTGGACCATATGAGCTTGGTGAATGTGTTTCACTATTTGGTTCATCTTTAGACAAACAATAGAGCTCTTGTAATACAGACCCATTGGGGACTTCCATGTCATCAGAAACTGGTGTTAGAGCTTGTATCTCTTTTTCTCCAACTAGTCTTTGATGTGACCCATCTGTGTAGTCACTGGCGACCTTTCCTGAAGAATATGGACACTGGTTTCCAATATCTGGAACAATATCAGTATGCATCATCACATCATCAGAAAGTGCTGTGTAAGTTGTGTTGTGGGCCTCTGACCCTGTGGCTTGAGGGTTTTCAAAGCTTTCTCTATTTTCACTAATTTCTCTTATATGCATCTTATCAGAATTGGATAATACCCAGGTGGAACAGGATGAAGGAGGTGTATTTCCACTTCTCACACTGGCTAGTTGCAGATCTCCAGGGGTGGGCAAGGATCGACCCTTTTCAAAGACATGGTGTGTTATAAAGGTGCAGTTAACTTGATCTGCTTCCAGGTCAAATGTCTGGTTTAACTCCGAGGTGGCAGCATAGTCTACACAGTTCAGATCATCGTCAGACTTCCACACAAAAGTCAGAGATGGCTCAACCTTCTGGTCCTCAACTGCTTCTAGGGAATGACAATTACTATGGAGATACTCAGGCTCCTCTGTATTTACAAGTGCAGAAGACTGACTTGTGGGATCTTTATGCATGTCTAACATCTGCTGACTAATGAAAGCACCTGAAGATGTTTGATGATCCAGTACTTCAACACACTGAGGGCTAAAAGATATACTTTCATCACTATCTAAAGCAGGGTCCATTTCATAATCAACTACCATGGCATCCGGGTTGGCAGAACTCCAATTCACACGATTAATTGAGGAGTTTTGTGTAGATGGTGATATTTGGTTGTATGCATACGTGTTTCCATTTTTATCACTGACAAATAAGGAATGTAATTCATCTTCTGTCTTATCACCTAAATTATCATCATTCATCCTGAATATTAACCTTAAACCTCTGCCATTTTATTTCTTCTTCAATTCTTTTCAAAAGAGAGGGAAAGAAAAATTGTCCATCTCCTAACTTTAGCAGCACGGTTGAAAGTTGTTTAGTCTACGGTGGTTTGAAGGTGAAATAATTTGTTGTTCTCTGGAAGAAATAAAATGTTTATCTCAGTAAATATTAGAAAAAGTAATAGGTCACCCCTTGACTAATACCAATCATTCCTTTTACATTTATAACCCACAACAGTTCAATAATTAGGTAATTAAAACATCACTAGCTTCTCCTTTCAAAAATACCTTCTAAGGGATTGGGACAGAATGGAAGGCAGAGACACTACAAACGTTCCTGTGACTGACTTCATAACTGATGCCTTCTCTCTACTTCCAGGGACCTTATGTCAAAAGAGAAAAGGAAACTAAGCCTGGCAATAAATCTTCCTTTTCACTGGATGACAAAGAGACCATCTTAATTTACCTGATAGTTCCAACTGTTGTTTCCATATAATTCATAATAGTATTCTTTTCATTCTTAGAAGGGCCTTTACTATGTTCAAGAAGAGTGATTATGAGGGAAACCATGCAGGGCTAGCAAATGAGCTAAAGATCAAGGAATGTTTGGGGAATTCCCATTTCTCTTTCTCACTTTCATTCCTGTTTTAAACATATGCCATTTCCAAACTGAAGGTGGAAAATCTGACACTGAAAAGTTATGAGTTTCTAAAAATATTAAACAGAGAAAGTCATTACATGCACTATACTGAACTGTGTCTCCCCAAGATCCACACATTAAAACCCAACCCCAGCATATGTGACAATACTGGTGAAAGGATCCCTAGGAGGTGCTTACAGTTAATGAGATCATGAAGGTGGAGCACTTACCCAATAGAGCTGGTGCCTTATGAGAAGGGATATCAGAATTCTCTCTCCCTGACCTCCGTGCAGGACATAGCAAAAAGGCAACTATTTACAAAGTAGAAAGCCCTCACAAGAAAGAAAACCCTAGCCAGGTATGCTGCTGCACATCTGTAATCCCACCTACTAGGAAGCTAAGACAAGAACATCTCAAGTTTGAGGATAGCTGAGACAATTTAGCCAGAACTTGTCTCAGAATAAAAGTTTTAAAAGGGCTGGGGATGTAACTCAGTGGTAGAACACTTTTCTATCATGTAACCCTCAGTGATGGGGGTGGGAGAGCAAACTCTGACAGAAACTTGATCTTGGCCTTTCTAGCCTCCAGAAAAGAAATTTCATTTAAATTATGCAGTCTAAAAAAATATTGTTATGGCAGTTCAATAAGTCTAAATTATCACAAGAACCAGCAATTCTATTCCTAAGTATCTACCAAAGAAAAATGAAAACATATGTTCACATAAACATTTACAAATAGTCATGATTCCTAATAAGTGCATTTTTTACAATAGCCAAAATGTAGGAAAAAAAATCCTTACATGTCTAGCAAGATAGATGACTAAATTTATGTACACATACATGTACACATGTTGTATACACATATTGTATATATACGAGAATATTCTTGGGCACAAAAAGGAATGCAATATTGACTCATGGTACAACAACGATACAGTGTTACAACTTGAAAGTATTATACTAAATGAAAGCTCACTCATAAAAGCTATTATATAATATTTACATGAAATATCCAGAACAGGCAAATCTATAGAGACAGAAAATAGATTGGCCATTGTCTAAGGCTGGTAAAAGACGAAGGAGAAGGGAGTGGACATTGGCTGTTAAATGGGATGTTATTTCTTTGGAGGAAATGAAACATTCTAAAATTAGATTTTGTTGATAGTTACACAATGCTGCATGTTAACATTTAGATCTGAAATGTATCCCAAAAGTTTCACGTGTTCAGAGGTCAGGTTTTTGGAAGGTAACTGGATCATGGAAGTGGTACTCATCAGTGGATTAATACATTGGTGAGTTCCTAGCTGAAGGTGCTGTTAGGTGGGTGGCCCTAGTCTGAAGAGGTCAGTGTGACCTGCAAAATATATTCTTGTCCTAGCTCTTCCTCTTTTTACCTCTCTGCTTCTGGACTGCTATGATGTGAGCAGTCTTCTTCTGAAAGAGCCTTCCACCATTCTGTTTCTGCCTTAGCACCAGTTGACCACTGACATTAACGGTTTATTGGTGAGGATCTTTGTATATGCTTTAATCCTCTGCTACAAAATGTATTTAAGCTAAATGTTAAAATCCGGAGCACATTTATTCATTTTCAGACTCATGTACATGAGGTAAAGTTTCCAAACACCCATAGGAGTTCAATCTCTAGGCCTTGAAACCCAAAATATTATCTGATCTTCGACTTGCTTTAAATTTTAAAAAAGACATTAGTACAGTATCAAAGCTACAAATTTTATTTTATTCTAGAATAAAACTAAAGCAATTTAAAAAAAAACCTAAAGCAACTGAGCAAAGTATGTGTTATTTAAAAATACATTCATTATGTCCCTACTTTTTGCTAAAATCATTCAAGATAATTGATAATTCTCCTCTAAACCTCATTATTTTTTCACAGCTTGAGTTTAAATTCTTCACTTAAGCCCTGCAGTCTGCCTTTCAACAAACTCAATGACTGCCTTAGGTAGTAAATTTAGTAAAGTCTGGCTTACACCTAAGAACCAAGAACAAGGATATCTAGCAATCAATTTCCTAAAAGCATGATGATTTTCCATGAAACCATCTGAACAAGAGGAAGCTAGAGATGGTTTAATGGATTAAAAATAGAGGGCTAAAGAGGTGGCATCAGAGTTATACTTTATTTTTTTCCTCATTGAGTTTATTGCTACATTTTAGGTATACAGTACAGTTACATTCATCACTGGGATCTTGTACCTTTACATGACAGGTCTTGGTTCTCATTTTTTCCCCTTGTCCCTGCCCTCCCTTCACCCCTCCTCCCCTCCCCCTTTTAAATAATTTAAAAAAATAAAAATTTGAGACCATATGCTTTTTTCTTCTAAAACTGTGTGCTTCTATGGCTTTAATATGCATACAAATCAACTGAGCTTCTGATAAAGAAAACAAACAGCAGAGTAATGCACGCGGTGGGCTGTAATTCCACAATTTCTATCCACCCACCCCACGATACTGATGCTTCTTGTCTATGCAACACCCAAGAGCAGAAAGGATGCAGAAAATAACCAGTTCAATAACACTGGTGGCTGTCAGTGCCAGCTGAACATCCTTGCTCCAACCAGAAAAACCTTTCCTTACATTTGAACCCTAAATTTATGTTTTGAACTTTCCTCTCAGCTAATAGCTGGAAGTATGTATACTCACAGAAAGTACTACTTCTATCCTCTTCAGTTTATTTCTTCCATAGGGAGAAAGCTGAATTAATCTAATACTCCTGTCATTTTTCTGTCATGATCACATTCATCATAGGGAACTTGTACCTGTACATGATATATCTTGCTGCTGCTTTTCGTCCCTCCCCTCCCCTCCCTTCAACCTGTCTTCCTTTCCTTATTTATGAAAACTTTGTTTCCATTTTTTTCTATTCTTTTTTTGTCTTGTCCCTTCTTTCCTTTCTTCCTTCCCCCTTCCTATCCACCTTCTCATTTGAACACTTTTTCCCCATTTCCCAGTATCTATCATACATTTTGGTCCTTATTTACCCTTTGTTTCTCACACTGGAGAGACAATGAGTATTTAAATCTATGTGTCCAATTCATCTCACTTAGGAGTATGGTCTCAAGGTGCATTCATTTAGCTAGAATGTCTCAAGCATATTCTTCTTTATGGCAGTGTAGTACTCCATTGTATAAAAGCCCACATTTTCTTTATCCATTCATTGGTTCATGGGCATTTTTGCTGTTTCCAAGATTTAGCTATTACAAATTTTGCCACTATAAACATGGTGCGCACATATTGCTATGGTGTGATGCTTTTAATTCAGGAACATAAAAACAAGGGGAATAGCTGGATCTAATGGAACCTCTAGTTTTAGTTTTTTCAGGAATCTCCACACTGATTTCCACAGTGGTTGCACCAGTCTACACTACCACAAACAGTGGAGAAGGGTCCCTTTTTCCCCACAGCCTCTCCAGTATTTGTTATTGGTTGATTTCTTGATAGCAGCCAATCTTTCTGGAATGAGATGGAATCTCAGCATTGTTTAATTGGCATCTCTCAAATGGCCTATGATGTTGAACATTTTTTCATATATTTATTTGCCATTTCTACTTCTTCATTAAGAAGTGTCTAGGTCTGGGAATTTAGCTCAGTAGTTCTGCTGCCTGCCTCAAAAGTTCAAGGTCCCAAGTTCGATCTCTGGAAAAAAACAAAAAAACAAAACAACAAATAAAGAGTGTCTATTCATTTCAGGTGCCCATTTTTAGATTAGTCTTTTTAACTTGGGGGGTCTGGTTTTCCTAGTTCTTTATATATTCTAGATAGTAATCCGCTGTCTGAGGTACAGCTGGCAAAAATTTTTTCCCACTCTATGGGTTGTCTTTTCACTCTGTTGGTGGTTTCTTTTGCTGTGAAAAAGCATTATTCCAATTATTTACTAGGGGCAAGGAACTCATCTTCCTTTGCTTCCATTCCAGGGAAGGAGACCTATCTCCTCTAATATCAAGTAAGCAGGGAGAAGGCCAGCAGCTCCAAGGACAAACAACAAACTATGCCAGCAGCAGTAGCCCCAAGAAATGCCCACAGTTATAATGTGAACTGCAAAACCGGCTTGGGGTTTTCTCCAAAAATAACTTCTGCATGGAGGGCTAGAGTTAAAGAAGAAATCCAGTGCAGCACCCACCACATTTGAGAGGGTTTGTCAAGAGTCATTTTGGGAAGGAGTTAATTGTTTATGACTGAGCTAAAGAACAACTACAGAGCAATACTTCAGGGTTTCTGGTGTCTCCCGACCACAGTGACAAACGAGATGGCCACGGGACACAGTTACAGAGAGGGCACAGGCTAGACACAGACCCCCTGCGAAGTTTAAGCTCAGATTGGGAAAGTTTGAAAGTCCCCCTCTCTGGACTGAGAAAGGCTGGTTGTGTGACTTTCAGGGGGGGCTGGGTCTGAAAGTGCTGGCATTACTTGACCCCAATGGACAGCTTGACCCTCAGCCCCACTACCTACATCCAGCACGTTCCTCAGTGGTCTGTTTGCTTTCCC